GTGTATACTTCCCCTGTTTATCAGTGTATTTGAAATTTTATAGATATTTCTAGAAGGGGTAATTACTAATACTAATTATGGTATAGTATCTAGCTGATAAATTTTCTTAATCACTTAGGTTGAACCATATTGTCATTTTTTGTAAATAAATGTATCTAAGAATTTCTTATAGTTTTAGCCAAATTTAAAGCATTTCTGACTCCTGTTTTTAATCAGTCCATAACAACTAGCACATGTATGCCCTTGTGTGACCCACTTTTGCTTGTTATTTTATCTGATTTTCTAATAAAAGAAAGTATCCCATCAGAAAACCAGTAACTTTACATTAATGAATGCTAATGAGCACAGTGATGAATGTTAGTGATAATTTATAAATATATAACATATTTTAAGTTATATGGTATAAACATCAAGATTTTCTTGGGTCTGAAACTTGTCTGTGTGGATGCAGTTTTGTTTCTGGATTTTCTGTTACTTTTGATGTTCTTTGGTTGCTTGAAGTATTTTAGGAAAAGGGTTAAATATATTAAACTCATTGGAAAAATTCAATATAATTTTACAGGAACTAAATGGAATAGTAAATATTTTTCTTAGTATTTCTGATGCTTCGGTTTATGAAAACTATAGTAACCCAGGCTAGGTCAGTTAATAACTAAGAATTCATCATTTTGCTCATTAACCAGAATTAACGGTAAAATAAAATGAGCCACACAATTACAGACATACTCTTTATAAACAGGTTTTTAATTTATAAACAGGTTTAGAGATGGCTAAGCCATTAAAGGCTAGGCTCACAACCAAAAACCTATTAAGCTCAGTTGGGCAAGGTGGCACATGTGTCTAAATAGCTTTAGATGGCTGAGCAGGAACATACATAGTAAGACCTTTCTCAAAACAGCAACAGTTAAAAACTATTAAACTCATGAAAAGATTGTGTACTTAATTTTGTTCAGGATCTTTAAATATGTTACATGTAGTTCTGGGTCCTTTAGTACCACTGCCAGCAGCAATAACTCAGTTTGTTGAATTATATAGTTAGCAAACCAAAGCAAAGGGATAATGGCTACTGTCACAGGACTGTAGTTCACCTGCTCAGAATGCCTGGTGCAAGGATTTCTTGCAGGTGATTCCAGTAACCTATAAATTCTAATGAGTTTCCAGATCTTTGTCATTCTGGGATGAAAGCTATATAATACTAAAAAAGTAATGGGATTATAATGCCAACTTTGAGATGTAAGATAAGACTACCAATGTTGTAATTTAAGTTTATTTTATATGAAGCCTGGAAATTCATACATCATAACAAGTAAATTTCTTAGATAGTATGTGCACCTTTCCTTGCTTTTATTATTGCAGAAAAGTAATCTTAATTTCAGTATATGTTAAACAATTTATGTTACCACATTTTTGGTGTTTTATATTATGTGTTATCAAGCTGTGTTTTTGTGTTTTGTTTTAGCTTATTTGCACTAATCTTGATGAACTCAGGAATTAATCTCCAAAATCGAGAATGAACTCAAAGATCTGGAAAACAGTAGAAAAAAATCGGTAGGTGTTTATCAAAAAGTTCTATCTATTATTGTCAGCATTAAAATTTATTCCTGCTTTTTTCCAAAGTTTTTAAAAATCTTGTTCTCCTAATTACATGAAAATTTACAACTAAAGATAGAAGCATTGTGTCTTTCATTTCTCCCATGTGATCTAATTTTCATTTTTAAATCAAAAAGATGGTATCTCTGTCTGCTTGGTTTATAACAAGTATAGTCTTAGATATTACTCAGTATGCTAATTGTTTTCTAACTAGTAGCTTTTTGGATTTTGCATATTCTTTGCATATCTTTAATGGAAGCCTATTGCTTAGTAACAAGCTTTTCTAATTATGTGTAATATAAAACATATACCAGGCCCCAAATTCTTACCAAATGACTCCTAAGTTCTTAAGATCAAGTTTTACTATATATTTGACAACTAATTTCCTGAATTTTTCATTGTTAAGAAGACGATACAGTATGAGAGTGTTATATATGAGATACATACATATATACATACATACATACATTACATACATACATACATGTGCTCTCACTTGGTAAAGTTCTCCATGTTGTTTTTTATTAAATAGATCATCACCTACTTAAATGGCATTTATAGTTGGATTATAGGCATAATGGAAACAGTTATATACCAATAGATAAATGTGGGAAAATATCAAATATTTAAGAAAATTAATCATTATAAAAACTTTGTTTTATCATGAAACCTCTTGCTTTGTACCTAAAACTGTTAATATAAATGTGTCTAAATATGATGACTGATTCAGCAGGTTTACAGTAGCCATTTTACATGCTGTTAGGAATGATATGTTAGAAGTACTTTGAAGGAGCAGACTGAAGTGTCAGAAAACTTTAGACTCTGAAGTTGTTTAATGCAGTATTTCAGTAGTCTGTCACATGATACCTCTGAGAAGATCACTGTAACCTACAAGGTGAAACAATGTTCTGAATAGTCCTCAGCCACATGTGGTTCACATCTTTAGTACCAGCACTCAGTGGAGGCAATGCCTAAAGGATCTCTGAGTTCAAAGCCAGCCTGGTCTGTATGGTGAGTTCCAACTCTGCCATAGAGCTAGCCAACACTACTTAGTGAGACCTTGTCTCAAAACAAAAGAAAAACAATCTTAACAGTCATTAGTTAACAATAAAGACCTTATCTTATTAAAGGGTGGGGAAACTTCCATTTAAAAACAGTTGAGACGTTTTTTGATTTTTCATATGTACTTTAGCTATCTGGGGAAGTCTCTTGATGTGGAAGGCTGATTTATTAAAATTTCCTACAGTAATGTGTTATACAAAAATTTCATGTGAAAATATTTTCAGACAAAAGTTGTTTTATCTTATTTAAATTTTTTGTTTAAAAAGGCTGATTCTTTTAGTAAGAAATGATATCTTTCTTTAAAATCAGGGGTATAACTTATGCAGAAGCTGTTGCTTTAGTTATTATATCAGAAAGCTGTTTTCATATTTCACAACTGAGCAGAAGTCTGTAAATTGCTAAACCTTTATGTACTTCACTTACACTTAACTTTATTCTGTTTGTATAAAAAGTTTTGTTCCTATGGCATAGTTTTAAGCATGATTTAATACTCACAGCACATATTACAGGTGCTAGGGTTCTCTGCAAAGCCGTCCTCCTTATTTTCTTAGTGAGTGGACGTCAGTGTAAGCATATAGGATCAAGTAGAAGAAAAAGTGAAGAAAGCAAACTGAAGGTGCTTGACAACATAGGCTTTGAGAATGTTTGTTAGAAGCTTCTAGGTTATATAGCATTTGATGGGTTACCTTTTGTGTGTCCAAACGACATCCTTTGGTATTTGCAAGTTCTTGGAACTGTGCTTTACCAGGAATAATTTTACTGAATTACCAACATAGGGTTTAAACTATTTCCCCTTGACTGAAATTGCCTAAAAGATTATTACATAGATGATTGTCTGGGCCATTGAAAATGACAGAGCATAAAACAAATAGGGAAAGTTCTCATTTTAGAATTCTCCTCTCTCCCCTGCCCCAACATAACCTTTTTCCTTTACAAAATCTGTGAGGAATGTGATCTCTGTAGGAATTGCAGAAAGTAACAAATTGGGTATTTGTTACTGTTTAATGCCAGCTTGTATTTGTTTGCTATCATTAAAAAGTAATATGCTTTCCTTAACAGAATTTTTACATGAACTAGAACTCTTATTAAACATTAGTAAGCATAAATTATATCAAAATCCTTACCTTACTCTGAACTTTTTTTTTTTGCATCTTACCATCTGTGTACAATTTAAGCCTTGTAATTGACTGCAGGATCACTGTTGTGAATTATCAGCTGTCTTATTATTGTAAAAATCTGTTGCTATCACTTGTTCTTATTAAAGATTCATCCATATATTTTGAAGAATTATTTTGTTTTGGTGTGTTTGCTTCATGTCTTTTTTTTTTTTTTTTTTTCATTGCCAGGCTTTCTGCCAGTTATCATTTCTTAATTGTGTTTGTTTATCTGCCCTAGTTGGAATATTGTGATTAAAAAGCCATACTTACTAGAATTGGGCTTAGAGTAAAGACTATTTATTGCATGAAGACTTTTTCTTACTAATAAAATGTATGAACTTCATGATAGAGATACTGTCTGGAAACATTCCTTATCTTGTGATAAATTAAAAATTAATATTTATCCCCTGAGGATTAATGTCAAGACTAAAATGAGTATTTAGAATCAAAACAAGTTTTCAGTTAATAATGACTTTTATTATTTCAATAACAATGAATAACAAAGAAGATGTAAATTTTCATTCCCCATAAGTGTCACTACTAAAGTTAGAGATTGCACATGGGATGTTGATTTAGTAATAATTCATAATAAGTGTTTGCTGTTTCTTCTCTGAGGTCTGTCCTGATAGTATTATCTACCAAACAACAAGCAAAGCCAGGCACCCTATGCATCCCTGTAATACCTTCTTATCCAGTAAACATTGCATTGAAAAGGTTATTTTGTTTTCTAATTTAACAGACTTTATGCTGTAGTGCACTTTTTTGTTAGAGGCTTTTCTAAATACCTCGGGTTGTGCTGTTGAACTGTTTGTTGCAATGGAAGATTATAGTTTCTTAAAAGTCTCGGTGGTTTCCTTTGGGTTCTATAAAGCTTTACCTCATTACTGCCTCAGCTTTGTCTATAGTGAGATCTGGTTAAGATGAAATTTGACAAAACCTTTCATTTTTCTTATCATAATTTAGGTCACAGGAGTTTTTAGTATTTTCCAGGAGGAATCCTTTTTACTCCCTTGAGTTCATGTGGCTTTAGTTAAAATAATATTTCCATTCTGCTGAATTGTTTGGAAGACATTCTTTTGTACTCTAATTTTTTTTAAGTTTTCCTGAAAGTTAAGAGTATGGAATGTTTTAATACATTTACTCAGTCTCTCACTATATTTGAGGTTTGTTACACATACTGTATTCTAGGTAGTAAAAAAAAATGAAAGATTTTGGTACCCTTTTTTAAAAAATTTTCATGTGAGCCTGTTTTTTAAAAATCATATTTACTCCAGTTGTGCTTTATCATAGCTTGTTCAAAGAGGCATCTGCCTTCCAGCAAAGATTTGCATAAAGATTAAGCATTAAAAAAAAAAATAAGAAATGTGAGCTGCCCTCACTAGGGAATGTGATCTCTGTATTTCTCTGTACAAAGCAGTGATGTTATCACAGTGGTGATTGTGTGTTTTTCTACTTGATTTTAATGCTAATTTGGAAGGATAATGAAATGTGATATATACTGTTCAATGTGAGACTTAGATGAAAATTGGTGAGAGTATCAAGAGAAAATTTTACTCTGGCATTGTTAAAACACTGTTTCAACTTTTTCCATAGTAATGTACAGTCGTTTTCACTGTAATATCAAAACTAGTATTTTTCAAAAGGCACTCTGACAGTGAGATTAAGGTGCTATTTTATCTTCTCAAATGAATATGCAGGACCATGGAAATTTGGAGGTAGTTTTCTAGGTAAGAAATTATGAAAGCAGAAAATACTTAATGAATGCAGAATTAATTTTTCACTTAGACTATAAAACATATCATACAGCTTATTAAAATAGTTTGTGTTTTGGGGGGGTTGGTTTTTTTTTGTTTGTTTGTTTGTTTTAAGGCAGAATTTCTCTGTGTAGCCCTGGTTGTCTTGGAACTCAGATCTACCTTCCTCTGCCTCTCCAGTGCTGGGATTAAAGGAGTGCACCACTATACTTGGCTAAAATGATTCAATTTTGTTTGTGCTATTTTCATTTCATAGGAGTTTGCATTCTTTACAAGCCACCTTTGGATTGGATTTGGTTTGAATTAACCACCATTGATCATCAGGGGTCACTGACACTTTGACCATTTAATTTTCTCTTGAAAATTACAATACAACCATATTTATAAGTTGGCAGTCCTTTTCCAACATAGGATTTCTGTTTGTAGGAAGAATCAGGCCTATAAGTACTTTGCTTTGTGATGGATGTTTCTTTCTATGCACTAGTGTTTGTAAGCAGAAGCATTTTAAAAAGTAGCATTTAAAAAGAAATTCTTGCCTATATAAGACTTTACTTTGTTAATACATGGTTCCTAGTAACCTTTTGTGATTATATACATTACAAGAAAATCTGCGTATGAAATTGGATGGTTTGTAAAAGTGAGTTTGCCATACAAAACATCTGAATTTATTAATATGTAAACATATCCATAACAATGAGATACTTAAGTCTAGAATTTGTTTTCCTTTTCTTCCCTTAGGTTTCCAATGTCCCCAGCATTAGTAGATTGCCAACTCCCTCTTTACAGCACCCTAGCCAGTGTTAAGCTGGCATTGTCAAACCCATCCCAGATTACTGCAGCAGATGGAGTTGTTCTTTAGTTATAAGGTAAGTTCCCCCATGCTCATTTCACACTCGTTGAGATGCAGTTTTTCATTTTACAATATTGTATAGTTTTGTAAGTTTTCTTTCCTCATGTGATTCCCTAGGTTATTGGTGCATTATAC